CATCGATCGGTGGTTCAGTGGTTGGCACAAGAGAAGGTGAAATGTATGTATGGGCAGTGATATATATCCGTAATTAAGGGGAGACTGTGCATCTACTATCAGTGGTTAGCTACAACGTAACTTGCAAATGATATTTGCAGTTGCATTAAGTAGTTGCGTCTAATTAATGGAGGGGGCCTTCGATCGTAAGGGCTAAGTCGTCTGGCCAGTAAATAAAGGACATGATCTTAGCGTACGATGGTACATCCCACATGCAAGGATGATTAGGACCTATTTATTTTAAAGGAAACTTATATGATGGGTCATTTACATCATGGCTACATAGCCTGCACCATTTCCCTCCTTTTGCACGTAGTATACACTGCTAGTCCTACCCTGTTGTAATTCCTTGAAAGTAAAATCATAGAAATTGAAAATCATTAACCTTTGCATGCATGGAAACAAATATTTGAATATGACCAAGCACGTGCAAGCTACCTTTTTTAATTTTCAACTTCCAGCAAACTGTTAAACAAAGAAAAACACTATGAAGTGATTCCAGCAGATCATTTGTATATGCGCGCGCGCACGTTTTAAACTCTCTGTGTGTGTGTATTTTAAGTCGTGATCATATATATCACGTACTACTTAATAAACTAAATTTATTTTTGTTCATGAGGCATTGGATATGATGGGAGATTGGTGCGGCGACATTGGGCACAACGTGTAACAATGATGATCAATAATTTCTCAACAAACTCAGTAGAGGATGTGAAGATATATATGCAGGCCCGAGAGACAGCCCTAGTTAATGCGATGCCTTTATATGTAATTTCTGGAAGAAAAATGTGGGATCGAAAGATATATGCACCACTTTAGATAAGTGACAATTCTTATAATCATGTGAAGACGCCATCCACCTGCCCCCCCCCCCCCATAATTATCGCGTTATACTAATAATGATGTGCGCATGATGCTCATACTTTAGCCATCATCATTCACACATCCCCATCATCCCCCTTACATATACATCACACAATTCAAATTAATATATCTTACATGCATAATTGCACATATATATATATATATTGGAATGAAATTGGGGAAACATGGATATTATTGGCGACCATATGAAATGAAGCAAGGGAGCACAGGACAAGGTGACGTATCAGGATGCATGTGTGACTATATCCAAAGGAACTCATATAGATATAGCTCCACAGGTAGTTGAAGATTTAAAGAAGAGAACATGGCGATGGATGTGATGAATTACATGTATGGTGGGAATTAATTAGCGGGTGCTGCACGAACAACAAGCCTACTCAAGTGAAGTATATTTCATGCTGTGAACCTCCAATGCCTGCGACATTGTATGTTATTTGGGAGTACTGATGCTGATGATGGAAGGTGGGGAAGTTGTCTGTTAATTAATTGGTCGGCCTGGCACAAAATATCAAGGGGATGATAAAGAACTTACTTATAATTTCAGAAAAAGACAGACTCGTGTGTGAACAGGCTAGCGATCCATGTCCATAAGATGATCAATGAGGTCATGGCAGTTCATGAACCATATTCTAAGCGTGGGACTATATATGGCATTGTGTCTATGTTGTTTTGATATAACTCGTCGGTCATGGTGCCTTTATTCAAAGTAAATAGATAAAGATCGCAGAGCGAGGCAAAAGGGAAAAACTTTAAATTCCGAAAGTTGGACAATGGAGCGAGAACAAATGAAGGCGGTGGCTACGTTACAACTTTCCCAGAGCAGTGCGGCACTCCAAACTTTGGGCGTGAACTTTAAAAAATTAATGTTGCAAATTTGCAATCCCATACCGGATGGATTGCTAGCAAAAACTAGAGACAAGTGCGTTGGCTACTTTGGCACGTGAGTAAGGGGCCCCAGAGGGTGGGGTTCACGTGACTCGCCCGAAAGATGGAAAAGAAAGGTTGGGATGTCAATCGTGGCCTCCGCCTTGCAGTTGGAAAAGAGGAAAGCTTGTATCGTTTCCTTATATACTTATATATATATGTATATAGATGGCCACTTTTCAGTCTGAGTAAATGATGAGTATTGAGTAGCGCACATTGGATTCTTAAATCATCACACCACAAGTCTCTAACCCAATTTCTCATATCAACTAACCAATAGACCCAGCCAAGCAAACTAAAAAGAAATACACCATTGTATTCCTCCTGATTTTTCTCTTATTTCCGTATCACATAATCCTAGCTACTTTCAATTTCAAGGGTCCGAACAAGTATGAATCGGTAAACATTCATCATTGAACCTTCGAATGGAATTTTTTTATGCCGGTAACCAACGGGTGTAGGATATTATTAAATATTTATATTATATACATAAGGCTATTAGCGCACGTCACCAGCCATATTATAAATATTCGGGTTTGCTAGGCAGGAAAACAGATAATATTATTATATGGTGAGCAATTTTTCTTCATCCTTGTGATGATACATGCAACGTTTCTTCTCCCTTGCGTTTTCCTGTATATTAATTTATGTAAAGTCAACAAATTAAAATCTTAATAAAATTCATCAAGAAGTCGTATTAATGCTGTGGGGTTATACAAATTAAATGATATGGGTAGAACATATCTACAAATATAACTATATATATAATTAGTTTTAGTAAGGTGGCCCTGATAATCAGAATAATTTATCTTCAAAATATTTTATGAGGCATAGTCCAAGGGATATTGGTACTGTTGCTTTTGGCTGATTATGGCAGCATTTGACATGCTAACAAGAACACTGATTTAATTACAAAGTATAATTTTATCCGTTAATTGTGGATTATTCAAACGACTTAAATATAAGTATTAGCTAGCTAGCATGGTAGCTAAATATATATTTCTCATTTAATTTCGATTATCCTTTTTGTGGGAATACAGGAGGGTCGAGGGATGCGTGGAAGGGAGGGATGAAGTTTTCCAGCTGATCAGCTCATAGAGGAACCCTTTTCTATGAGGAATGACTAGGTTAGGTGTAATTTTTTTTTTTAAAGAAGTGATCATATGTGGATTTGATTGTTCTTATTTTGTATGGCAGCATCAATCAAGCACAACCTTCTTTCTTTAGACAAAAATGGCAAACCTTGAATAGCTTAAAATATTTCGTAAAAAAAATATTTCGTTAAAAAAAAAAAGAATAGCTTAAAATATTATAAGAACTTCACGAACTCTTCAGACTTGGAAACTGGAATTAAAACATGCAGTTAACATGTGTATATATCTATTATGGACTGGCCTTGAAAAAGATATTTCTTCATAATGGTTAAAAAACATGAACAAAAGTAATGAATACAAAAGAGGTGGAGGGAATACCCCAGGGGGATCGCAAGTTGCTTTGTACATTGGGCCAAGAAACTACTTTTTTAATTTTTCTTTATAAATTATTTCTATCAATTTTATCAATCTCAATATAAAAAAATATAAAAAATAAAAGTGTATAAAATTTTAAATATACCTCTACATAATAAATCTCAAAAGTGATGATATATTATTTATTCTCTCTCATAATGATAATTTTAAAAATACCTTTCAACTGTTACCTAAAAAACTATACTGTAAGAGACTAAATGAATTTTTTAAAATGTAATTTATAAACAAAATTGGAGGGAGTACGTGTTATGTTTTACTCGATTGAATATATATAAAATTAATGGGGGATGTTCCTTGATAAAATTGACGTCGGGGTTGCAGGAGCTGGGGCAGCTCATGCATGAAATCATCAAAATTAAAGGAGTTTGCTTCTCCGAATAATGCTCGCAAAAGTCAAACATAAAGTTACATAATCTAGCTAATACACAGTGATTATTGGACGGACGCGCGCGCGCCAAGAAGAGGCTCAGATTTCAGCATAGATAAATTAGATATGAATCCAAAAGATTAGAAATTTATCAAAATTGTAGACCACTTCTCGACTGTTAACCCTGGACATCGCCTGGTTTATATAAATGGTCCCTCTTCTTGCCAGAAAAAGAGGTTTATATAAATTAATTTCTGCGGATAGAAAATTATGTAATTAGGTAAAACAAATTCAGGAGGCAATGTACAAATTGACAAACCAGCGTTCCCTCGTTAGTAATGAGCAACAAGCAATGGATGAAGCTTCTTTTGACACGAATATATAAAAGATGATTAAATGCGAGTAAAAGGGGGGAGACAAGAAAAACACCTGTAAAAATCAAAGGTGCATGAAAAGGGAAAAATGAATATGCCCATCGTAACAGTGCCAAACCTCAGAGCAGTAGTTATGAGTGGTTTTCAGACCACAAACTTATGTATCATGTATGCATATCTCCCATTAAAAAACCTAACTGGTCTGTTTTGCCCATCCCTTGGCACGTGCCATCTATCCCAACTCTCTCCTTCGCTATATTCGGTTGGCCTATTAAATGAATTTGTGGCTCCCGACATGCCTGGAATACCCTTACCAACTTTTGCCATCGTGAGTCATTGTCCTGGGGCACCACGGTCATTCCACAATATCAAAAGATAGTGGTAGTTTGGATCATTGAGATGACTCTGTACTGCACCTCTTATCTTCCCCCCCCCCCCCCCAAAATTCCGTTGTTTGCGCTGGTTCCCAAACCACGTATTCAAATGACAATAAAAACTATACCAAAAAAGAAAATGACAATATAAACCAGTACTCTGGTGACTGTAGTTTCGTCATTTCCCACCAGCAAATTAATCAAATAAATGTTGAACCACGTTGAATTTCCCTTGTGATTATCATTTTACCGAAAACGTCAGTTTGGATTCTTCCGATCTTAATTCCAACCATTATGTTGCTGAATTTTGTTGTCCAGTAGGGACATTGTCGTCTTTCCGAACCATGAATATTTTCTTTTGCGTATGGTTTTCCACTACAACTTTATTATAGTATTGTTTTTGTATTTTTTTCGTTAAATGGAATAATATTTTTTTTTTGCAGATAAATAAAGATATAAAAAAGGGCATTATTGGTGGGGAAAAATTAAAAAGGAGGGTGAAGACTGAAGAGGGAGAACAGCGACCGCTCCCTTTTCCTTCTCTTGCTATATGTTGAGACAGATATCATATCAGCAGCCCCCGAATCCTCCATTTTTTTATAATTTATGTTATATGAAAGTTGCATCTCTCTTGTATCACAAGGAGATCTTACAAGAACTCTCACTCCAGAGAGCAACCCCAGGACGATAAAGAAAAGGAGAGAAAGAGACGAGAGGCGACAGAGCGACAATAGAGAGAGTGAGTGTGGGAGGGGGAGGGAGAGAGAGAGAGAGGAGTTGAAGAAGCTTTCAATTTCCACAGGAGGGAAAACGATGTCTGAGAACTTCACATCCTTTCATACTATGCAACTCTCAGAGGTACATGTATTGTTTTTATATTTATATTTATATGTATATATACATACATGATGAGCACGGCTGAAAATGGTGAAAGGAAAATTTGATGTTTAGAAGAGGCGAGGGGACTGGGGAGGGGCCGGGGGGCTGTTCATTCGTTCTCTGTTTTCCTATTTCTTTCTCTAGTCTCCAGCCTGCCATTCATGTCTTGTACCATAATTGACTTCCAATCACTCCATCGAAGTTTCTTAATTGCTAGATTTGGTTATTCTGGCACAATCTTTGATGACTTCAGTTTATTGGACAGTTGAAGTGAGGCTGCCGGAGGAAATAAAGACGAAGCTGATGACGACGACGACGACGACGACAATTATGATGAAGAACGAGATTTCAAGATGGGAATAACAGCGCCGGCACTTGCATCAATAATCTCTCACTCCAATTCCAAGACCCGCCATTCCTTTTCTACCTTGTACAAGAAGTCCGATTTTCCGAAGTCTATGTCCATGTCCCAAGATTACCATCAAGCAGGAATCTTCAACTTTTCGAATGGATTCGAGAGATCCACTGTAACTCAGCAACCTCATCAGCAGCCGCAGATTCGGAAGGACAAAATGAGGGTGCAAGGCTTCGACCCACCGCCACCGTTAGTGGGTATCGAGGAAGAGGAATCCGGAGGTCTTCCTGTGTACGAAAACGCCGGTATGTTATCGGAGATGTTTAGTTTCCCTCCCACAGGCGCCACCTCTTCTGAATTCTTGGAACAGCAACCCTTGACCGCGACCTATCGATCGTTCAGCAGGCCACAGGCTACTGCGATGGGCGGCGAGTGGTACGGAGACCGACAAGGCTTGATAAGTGGTATGGGAGATTCCAAGAATCACCACCACCACCGTCCTCATCAGCGTCAGATTTCAAGCATGAATGCGGATTCAGCGGCTGCCATGCAGCTTTTTCTCATGAACCCTCAACCCAGATCGCCTTCTCCTCCCCACAATCCTTCCACTAGCTCTTCTACCCTCAACATGTTGCTCCCCAATCCTTCCTCTTCTCTACAAGAATTCCCTGGCCCTGGAACTGGAGGGGGTTTTGGTCAATTCACCTGGGTTCCATTTTCCGAAGCAGGTTCTCAAGAAGTAGGAACCAACGCCAACTCGAATCAGGGTGAAATCGGCGGGGTTGTGGAAGGCCAAGGTCTTTCCTTATCGTTGTCGTCTTCATTGGAAGGAGCGAAAGCCGAGGAACTGAGGATGGGGGATAGTGGGTTTCTTAATTATTACAGTCAAAGTGCAGCAGGAGGGTCCTCATCTGCTCAGTATCCGTACAAGAATTTGGGCGGTCAAACTCAAACTCACGCATTGCATGTGCAAGGAGTGGCGCAGAACTACCAAGCTCATGCTGGTTTCGGGTCATCCTTGGGGATTGCCAATGTGCTGAGGAACTCCAAGTACGTGAAGCCTGCTAAAGAATTGCTTGAAGAATTCTGCAGCGTCGGGAGGGGTCAGTTCAAGAAGAACAAATTCAGCAGGCAGACCTCCGACCTTAATTCCAATTCCGGTGTTGGTGCCGCTGCTTCTTCGTCTTCCACAAAAGACCCCCCTCCTATGTCAGCCGCCGACAGGATTGAGCATCAGAGAAGGAAGGTCAAACTTCTATCCATGCTTGACGAGGCACGTACTCTCCCTCTCTTTCCATCTCTAATCCTCAAGAGTCAAGGTCCTTCGATCTTTTTCTTCTTTTCAGTTTAGCCCATTCATGTTTTTTGTTTTTTTTAAATCATATTAAACTCCACAGGGATTAACGCTCGTTCTTCGGCCGGTTTCTTCATTGATTTTTTTTTAAATAAATTATAGACAAAGAAGCCGGCAGGTATAGTAGGGCTCTAAAATTCTTATTCTAGAGGATCGGCTGGTACGGATACGGGATATCTTCCTTCTTTAAATTAAAACTCCTTTTAATATAGCAGAATACGTCCATCAAGAAGCGACGTTCTTTCTGTTAGTAATACCCCCAATCTAAGCCACACCTATCACGTTACGTAGGAAGTTGTTATGAATGCCACTGCTCTCCCACCTCCCGATACATACCCATCATTGCTGGTATTAAAGTGAAAGCAATTGTTAGTTTTAGTTTGTTACCATGTCCCCCAACCCCCACAAATATTTGCTGGTTTTATGCACCCAAAGGCCAGTGAGCTGGAGAGTGAGCGAAGAAGAAAGCAAAACGATGTGCCTTGTTCCGATGAACAATCATTTGGCCGAACCGTATATAATATATCCTTCAATTCACGCGCATTTATTAAATTTTGGGTTTCTTTAAGAAGCAACAATGTCTCACCAAATTCAATATGAATGGTAACTACGCTATCCATCTCAAAACCATAAGCTACCAACACATGTCATTTCGATTTCCACCGTTTGCATGGACTGAATGGAGTCCCGTATCTTATTCTTTGCGTGATGGTCCACGTAGGTTGCTTTCCTTTATCAATACTCGACACTGTCACACTAGAGTAATTAATTAAATGTAGTTGGTAATCGTTCATCCAGCGAGATCCATCCTGCATTATTTCTGAGCAATGAACCGATAGCCTGCATGTACAATACTTTCTCGAAAAATAATAATAAATAAATAAAAGCTTGTAGCCATGGTTTCGTATTCTTTTGTATAGCAAGCTAAGTCAATGTTAAGTAATATGTGGGTTATGATTATGCAGGTGGACCGAAGATACAGTCACTACTGCGAACAAATGCAAATGGTGGTGAACTCATTTGACTTGGTGATTGGTTATGGGGCGGCGGTACCGTACACGGCGCTGGCGCAGAAAGCAATGTCGAGGCATTTCCGGTGCCTGAAGGATGCCATATCAGCACAACTGAAGCACAGTTGCGAGTTGCTGGGCGAGAAAGATGGGGTGGGTTCGTCGGGTTTGACTAAAGGTGAGACTCCAAGGCTTAAGCTGCTGGAGCAAAGCCTTAGGCAACAGAGAGCCTTCCACCAGATGGGCATGATGGAGCAGGAGGCTTGGAGACCCCAGCGCGGTCTTCCTGAACGTTCTGTCAACATTTTGAGAGCCTGGCTTTTCGAGCATTTCCTCCACCCGTACGTTGTTTCTTCCTTTGCCTCCTCTTGTTCTTTACTTGCTCATCACTCCGAATGTCCTTATTATTCGTCCTGTGGTCTAGGTTTTAACTTTTAACAGTTTGAGTGTTTTCACGATTAAGTCTGTCTTTTCTTATATTATCACTTTATTAATAAAACAGCCAAGTCATAATAATCTTGGAGTATTATATAAGTCTTCTTGATTATAAAGTTCTCCATATCAATTTGAAAGTTAAAACCCCGGTTTTAATTTTAATAAGAGGAAAAGAGAGAATCTAAAAGCCATCATTTATGTGTGTCATATATGATCAACGTTTCGAGCAACACTAATGCAGTAACGTAGCAGTGTCCTTGGGATGTTGTGTAGCCAGCGAAAAGCTGTAAAGACTGCATCCTCATGGTTTAACTTTAACTCCATTTCACCTCATCGTCTCCCTCTCCTAAAACATACGAGTACGTTAAATGAAGCGATTAAGGGGGATAAAGTAGAGAGAGAGAGAGAGAGAGAGAGAGAGTGGTCAGTGTGTACAGTGATATACTTTTCTTCTGCTATAGCAGCTAAGACGTAGATCTTTCTTCATGGGCTTAGATTCTAACGCCCATGAAGGAAAAGGGAGGGAAGGTTCAATGGCAGCGAGGGGGGCACAGGTCACAGAAAGCTGGGTGTCCATTTTACGGTTAAGGGCAAGGACTCTGATGTCATTTTCTTGGTCTCTTTCTCAGGTACCCAAGCGATGCAGATAAGCATCTGTTGGCTCGACAGACTGGGCTATCGAGAAATCAGGTTCGTCTCTCCCCACTCTTGTCTTTCCACAAAACACATCATAAAATTATATATACTATATAGCATGTCATGGATGAGTCTAGAGAGAGAATAAGAGACAACTTTTAGACTCTGTAAATAATTAAACGCCCGGCCCACATCCACCATGAAACAAAGAAAAGGAAACCCCATGGAAGAGCAGGGACCAGCTGTAAGTTCAGATGGGCTAACATGTGGTTTCAGGTTTTGTTTCTGTCTGCCAACCTAGGCTTTTATTGTTTCCCCTATTTTTCTTTCTTTTTTTTTATTTGTTTCCTTTCCAATGTTTTAAAAATAATCTTTTGATTTCGAATCTTTGCCTTCGCGATCATAAATTCTGAAAATAATAGCGCTGACGGTATAAGTACATAAGCAATATAATGAAAACACAGCAGTTTTGCTGCATTGGAATCATAGTCTTTCTGTCTCGTATCTAATGCTTTCACCCACCGGTCCAAGTGCATGATATATGGAGCCCAAGTGGGAACAAATGTGTAATTAGCTTAGATATTTTAATGTCCTCTCGGTATGTCGGTTTGTCCTTATATATTATATGCCTTTTGCAAATGCAATGGCAGATATCTATGTAATGTTAGCTTGTTAGGTTTGTCCCTTCTAATTAAAGCATAATCCGCTGCTTTAAATACTCTAAAGTCGATCAATTTATTAGTCAAAACACGGAATAGTATATTTTATTTTCTCGCGTACTTTCTTTTCTTCTTTTTTAATTTTGGCTTGTCTTCCTAGTATTAATTTTAGGAAGAGCTATAAATAGATCTCACATGAAGGAATTAATTATTATAAGATCTATTAACAACTGAACTAAATTATGTTGATATGATAAAATTATTAACACAATTTAGTTCAGTTGTCAATGAATTTTGCAGTAATTAATTTTTTTGTGTGGAACTTTAACATCATTCTCCCTTAATTTTATTTTGTTTTATCTGTGTTTATTAAATCAACGTCAGAATAGATCAAAATTTATATAATTAGATTAGAATTAGACATTAATATGTGCTGCAGAGTTTGAATTAAATTATATATTGTATGATTTATAAATATGAATCATATATTTTTAAATAAATTTGATATTAAAATATAAATTTATTTAAAAATGATATTATTGACAAGTTTTAATAAAATAATATTTTTCCAAAATTAATCGGCATATAATTACTATTCCTTTGATCATGTATATTACTCACTTTTTAAAGATATAATTAAATTTTTTTTATAAGTTACGAGTTGATAAGATTGTTTTATTTTAAATTAAAATTTTTAAATTACACTAAAAAGGTAAGAGAGAAAAAATAAAAAATAATATTATAATATTTATTTATTTTTTATTTTTTACTTAAAAGTTATATTTAAAAATTTATTAACTTTTATTTATTATATTTTTATAATATTAATATTAACGTGGTTGATAAAAATAATTTATAAATAAACGAGAGGGATTATTATGCATTTATGCATCGGCATAGTGTACGGTTGTTTTTTGGCCACATAATCCTAGCTAAGCACAATGTTGTACTTTGTATTTTATCTCAGAATACAAAATTTGCAGTTCTTTGGCTCCGCAGAAGCCTATGTCGTACGCCTGAGTATAGCTGTCCCAGTGCCCTGTAATGGTCAGTTCAAAACTGGCAGGGTAATAAAGTCCATAGGTACTGCCTGACTGGGAACTTCTCATGAATAGTGCTGCCGCTCTTGTTTGATTTGAGTCACGGTAAAATTAGCCATCATTTTGAATCAGTCATTTCACTGTCCCCATACCTTAATCGCCATTTAGATACCTATTCCCTTCAACAGACGTTGCATGATCTATTATTATTCGTAGTTAACATCATTTCCTTTCCCATCCCGTAAGTGTTGCTTTCCACCAAATATGCACGCCCAAACCGTTAGTTTATTCACGAGAGTGGCTAAACTGTCGCAATAAATGTGAGAGCTGACGGGAGTCGCAAATCTATATATGCAAATAGTCCCAGAATTATAGCATTGTGTAGACATATGATATATCTTGCATTTTAAGCAAGCAGCAGGATATGGATTATAACAAGTGGGATGTGACACAGGTATCAAACTGGTTCATTAACGCCAGAGTAAGGTTGTGGAAACCCATGGTAGAGGACATGTATCAACAAGAGCTTAAAGAGGCGGAGGATGCAGAAGACACAGAAATGAACCAAAGTGACAATAGTGGCAACATGGCTCAAACTCCAACGCCCACAACCACCGCAACCACAACTACGACCAATTCAACAGCAACAGCGCCACCGTTAACGCCACCAGCCAAAAGATACGACGTCAACGCCACCGAAAGAGACCATTCCCTCGCTGCAATCAACAGACAAGCCTTCTCGGAAAACCAATCAAAGCAGCAGTCGTCCGCCACCACCACCCTCGCCCCGAGCGCCACCGCCTCTGAGGTGGCGCCACCCGTGTCCCAATGCTTCGAATCAGACCTGCCCCCACACAGTCATGATGACACGTGTCGGCATGGCTGCATGGCTGCAGAACACTGCGGGACCGTCACAGCCACTGCTAACAATATTGGATCTACTCTCATTAGGTTCGGGACCACCGCCGGTGATGTGTCGCTCACCCTAGGGTTACGCCACGCCGGGAACATCCCTGACCCTTCTCCTTTCTCCGTTAGAGATTTTGGAGGCATTTGATTAAACTTAGATTGCATATAAAATACATATAGGAAGTTGAAGTTGTTTGTTATTTCAGCTATCGAAAAAGAAAACCTTTTTGCTGATTTTTATCGCTACGTTCCTCCTGCTTTTATTTGCATTATATATTATACTAGTATTGAGGAAATAAAGGATAAAAAGAACATAATATGATCAGAAACGTGGCGTTGCGCGTTAGCTGAGGCAGCTGTTTGGTTCCCGGTTGCACAATTGTATAGCGGAATATTGTTTCTCATCTTTTGCCAACGTGTATCAAGGTTTCATACCTTAATTTAATTAGCGCCTTTGTTTAATATGATTTGATCTAACGAACTATGTTACTATAGAATTTCAGCCAGGTCACACTGCATATTTTTATTAGTCCTTTATTCCTTAACAGGTGTAATTTTGTTAAATTTAACTTTAGAATCACGGAGGGTGCAAATAAATTAATTTACATTTTTACTATTTCCTGCACCAAATTTTCGAATAAAACTAGCCTTCGCGGCGCAGAGCGGTACATATAACCTCAGTTCATGTAAAAGCGAATACGTCATGATTCCATGAAAATTGGATACTGAAATTTAATAATATAAGTAAATTAATTAAGTTGTCGCGTGCCATCACGGCTTTCATTTCGGTTGAATACCAAGATGATGTCTTTTTCTCTTCTTTTAATCATATTGACCGAGTCATGATGAAATCAACACAGAAAGGGGGGGCCGATTATTGTTTATGATCAATTAATTACTCCCTTGAATAAATGCGTCCATATAGGATTTGTATTGGCAGTGAGTAGCTGAGAAGACCAAACGTGTGTAGAATGCTGAAGAAATTTGCTATGTAATTTGAACAAAACAGAATTTAATATATTCAATATTAGGAAGAAACCAAGCCCTCATACATGTAGAGAGATAGGCTCAACATACATGTAACGGAACGGTGGTAGACAGGAGCTGAAGGACGCGTCTTGACACCAAGGAGCTTGTCAAATCCGTTTCTGTTACGCGTAATTAATATTAATATTAATGAATCTGTTGTGCCATGTGGGGCGTCTAAACTACCTCCAACAGTGCCAAGTTTGTTCCGTAAAAACTAAAACAAGAGCTTGCAAAGCAACAATTACGGCTCACCTAAAATTTGCATTTTCTTGTTGTTGGAGCAACGTAACACCACCGGGTAGTGCCGGGCACTAAAACCAATCGAATTCTACAAGGTTGGTCCGATGCCTCTATCACTTTTGAATGGTGGAGACCTTGAGCTATTTCACATCATTGTTTCCGCATTAAAGTTAAGATGTGGCGGTTGTTACTAGTAATTAGGTAGTCACCACACAAGGCATAAATATAATTAAGGTGAAGACCGGATTGAAAAAAGGTGTACTGGCAGGGGGCAAATTAAATTATAATAATATATAGGGAAACTCAGCTTCAATGTCAGTACACAAGCAAGAGTAGAGTGTTAAATGGGATCAGAGTGGTGGTATATTGAAAGGGAAAGAGAGGAAATAGAGAGTCATATTGAGCAAAGTGACACAAAATAAGAGGGGGGACTGGGGTGGCTAATCATGAGAGAGAGCCAGAATGGTTTGTTTGTCTTGAGTGGGGGCGCCATGATAACTACACTCCTGCACATTCAATGGGAAAGAAGCTGACGAATTTCTTATTTAATGGGCGTCCCCACCCAATCCCCCACCTTCATGCAGAGTAGCCATATGCCCTACTAATAGCCTTGTCACCTGCTATTAATACGTGCAAGATTGCGTGCTTATCTTATTTCAACCCCAAAATTAACACTCGGTGTTTAACTAACTATAACTCCACTATAATCAACGCATCTTGGCTTCCTCTCACATTCACGTCAGTGTATTTCAACATGCTTATATCTGCGGACCAAGGACAAGTACCGCCATTTACGTAATTCGCTTCCCTTGTTTACTGGATCCATATATTGGATATAACAGATATATCTCTAATCATATATTTGTTTGGGATATTTTTATTATTATTATTATTATTGAAATTTTAAAAAGTCTAATAACAACAACGAGATGGAAACATCCGGTTGAGACGAGACTGCAGCGTCCTGCTCGTGCTGGAACCGTGATCAAATGGCCACCGACAGGATCGGGCCGTACATGGGTCCATGATCGCCGGGAAAAGGAGAGATGAGGCCAAACATTTCGTTCTGGGCCTGGGCCCATCCTCCTCCCTGAAATTTTAGCTGTAAGAAAATGCCGAGTCCTCAAATAATTGAACTCATGCAGTCCTCTCAGATCTGCAAAACCCCCACCCCGAAAGCACACAAAAAGTTATCTCCAGCCCACATGGGGGGCCCTTGACAAATATATTTTTAAATGCTGGTTGGCCCAATGAAACCGGGGCAAGTGGAGGGGGAAATATTGAAGGGTAAAAGAACAGAGAGTGAAATAAGCAACATCTCCAACAATTATCAATATATCCCCTAATTTTCCTCCGGCCAAGCCGATCATTTTTCCAGCTCTAGACTCATTTCCCTGTTACAGGCTACAGTTACGGCTTCGCTTTTCCATGGCTTCATTTCGGCTTGCACACCCAAGATTGGCCCTTTTAACTGTGACATAGGTTTATTAACTAAAAATACAAATATTGCATCAATCGGTTAAAATGAGCCTCTAAAATGGATTCACTTTTATGTCCACCAGTTAAAAGCATTGGACCCTTGACTTAAATGGGCCACTTTTTTGCCCTTCAGTTAAAAGATCCTGGTTTACTATTTTGACCATAAGGTTTTTCTCAACCATCAGTTTAAAGGCCCTATTTTTGTTTCAAGAATTGGATCCTTGAATTAAACAGGTCACTCATGAGGTTAACTCTTTTGCCCAATGGATAAAAGCTTTAGTGTGGTGTTGGCTTAATAGGCGACCAGTTGGGTTTTTTCCTTTCATTTAAACCAGTGCTGAAGTAGCAGATATCACTCTTTATCTTTCTCTTGCTTCCCTTGATCGCCCCGTACCAGTGTACTGTAAGAAATAGCTAAATTTGGCTAGGTCCTCTTTATCGGTCCCTTCTTTCTTAAATGTATCAACTATGAATTTGCTCCATTTGTTGCGAGAATTTTCCCATTGATCCCACTGTTTCTCGGTCCTTTCTTTCTTTTATCTTGCCCTGATCACTACTTTACCCTGTAAAAATATAACCATAAAGGTGAGATAATAATATTAATAACAAAATAATTCACTACTGTTTATCTATCACATGTAACTATAAAAAAATATAACATAATATACAGGTAAACATAATATTTACACATGTTTCATTTCAAATCTCAACAACACATATCAATTCACTTTTTTTGTCACTATATTCATCACTTTTCTAACACATAGTATCATCACTATCAACCAAACCTTCAAATCACCCCGAGTCAACATTGTAGGCTTGTCTTAGACTAATATATACTCTCATTAGTTTTGAGCCCACTTTTAATGATAGAATCACCTAGCTAAAGGTGTTCTATCATACTTCTAGACAATAGTTTTTCCCAATACGCACAATGGAATGTTGTTAACTCTAACATCGCATTACATTAATACTAAAGAGTCAAAATTTCTAACATTGTACTTCAATAGGTATTAAGAAGATAATTTCCGACACTGCACCTCAAAAGACACCAAGAAGATATAATTATTCAATATTGCACCCCATCAGGCACTAAAGAAAATACTACCATATGGTCTTATTACTATACTCCACATAGATAAACTCTCACCTCTATGGTCATGCTTTTCGAATCAATCATAAGTTTCACATTGATACATGTATTCACAACACATAGTGTGTGTGTGTGTGTGTGTGTGTATTAAGTATGACATCACATGTTTTTTCACTGATCTCTTTGATCAAAAGTCATTCTCATGCAACATTTATGCAATACCATAAAACATACTTAGCTTAAAATAATTTCATAAACTAGATAGCATACTTACACACAGTAACAATAAATAGTCAAATAGAGAAAGTTATTTGATTATCTCAACCCTTCTGTCACTATAAAGGTTAGTCATGAATTTCAACTACCACTATAGCTCGTCACAAGCTTCCTTTTGCTACTCACACACATAATATGCCAATCTACATACAATTGGCACAATTTAGTCAATTAGTCCAATTGACCAAAAGTATATAATTATCAACTATGTTTATATTTAGCTGTCTATTTTTTTTATTTATCCATCCTAGGTTCATTATTACTCAATTATTACTTTACATCACTTCAACCGGCCTCATTTTACTCAAACATGATTTTCACCTTAAATTTTCATTGAATTAGGGCCAAATTGAGCCTATATATTCAAAGCTCTATCTTTTAGTTCTAAACCAATTGCAGAACTCTAATTTAACTATCGAGAATTCTTTTATTATTATTGAGTAAGGATCAAACTCTTAAAATTTTATCGATTCAATTTTTCTATAACTCATTCAGAGAAATGTGGGTAAGAGTTATACGAAGTTTATTCGATAAGTTATTAGTTAGAAGTGCCTTTCAATGCTCGAAAAAGACTTGCCCTATTTAACCCTTGCTTCCTCTCTTCTCTATTTTGAGTGTTTCACTTTTTCACTCGTGAACTTCACCCCAATTTCATGACTGAAGGGTCATTTTCTAGTCCATGCATCGTGGCACATGTAGCCTATGCCGCGACTTGTGGCATATTGAGGAAAGTTCTCACCACGCACACTTGCTTCATTTTAGGACGCGATTCTTTCACTCGTATTTGTTCATTCAACATCCAAAAAATATTAGTTATCAACTAACCATCTAAATCTCTAATTCTCTTACTAATTATCACTTTATCCTTAATTAATAGCTAATTATAGGATTAAGAAATCAGAGTGTTACAGTTATTATACAACTTTAATGTATAATAATCATTCAAGTTTGTTATACAATGATTTTTAATAAGATTTTTAACAAAACAATATATCTAACATTTTGACATATGAAACAACTTTGTTTAAATGATTCATTGACATGTAAAAAGCTAAAAATAATACAATTGCCATATTTTCCCTAAAGCTCAACTCATTATACTGTTTTATTTTTGTAACCTTGT